GGATTAAAGTTATGCGACGTTTGGTGAAACCGGGTCTTAGAAAGAAATAAGAAGTAATCTAAACCGAGATTAAAGTTAATTTGCATTGGTAGAGACGGGAAAGTAGTCTCTTCTGAGATAATAATGTAGGAAAAGCAAAGGAGCAGACTAATCTCTGGTTAACAGTTAATCGATGTTTATGAAACCGGGCCTTGGGCCCGGTTTTAACAAACGTCGCTCAACTTTAATCTTAGTTTAAGTCACGTGTGCCCCTTTCTAGAGTAGGGCCTGGTTTCACCAACGTTGTTTAACTTTAAGCTCGGCTCAATTCGTTCTTTGTTTCTTCCCATTTTGTTACTGTAGAGCGAGACAAACGTGAATTGAACCAAGATTAAAGTGAAGCGACGTTTGGTGAAACCCGGGCCTTAGAAGAAGCCACGTACCGGATTGATATTTCCCGAGCGCCCGCACGTTTTTCAACGACTCGATCGGCGCTCGTCCCGCTTAACGATTCTGCAATTGTATTCTTTCGAAAGAACCTCGGTGTCAGTTACAGACGATTTGTTCTCCCTATTTCCATTCCACCGAGCTACCGGGCCGTCCCGTAAATAATACTTGCGCAAATAAATAAAAGAATCCTTATTTTTGTGGGGAATTTATTGTTCTTTAGCGATATTATTATTCTTCAGCTCGCAAAACCGAAAGACTCGCCGGGGAATTGACAACTCAAATGGGAGGAAGTTGTAAATAACAATGGAAAATATACCTTGGGTTAAAATTTTTATGTTAAACTTTTCGTTTTACTTCCAAAATGTTCGGGAGAACCGTCCTACACCCGGCAGATTGACTTTAATTTCGGCTCAACTTCGTTTTTGGTCTCTTTTTTTAATTCTTGAAACTAGGAAAAGAAATCGGATTAAAGGTAAGTTAAACCGAAATTAAAAGCCAATCTGCATCAGTGGAGATGAACAAGTCAGTCCGCGACAGCGTCTTTGCAATTAGTCTAATTTTCCTCGCCAGGCGCGTTTCGACGTGTCGTTGAAAACGGAGCGCATCCCCCGCATTTAATCTTTCTCGAAACGGTGGAAACGTTTATTGACGTATCTCCGGACGTTTCCGCTGATTTCTTCATCCGTCGCAACTTTCCAACTTTCTACATCACTCGTCAGTGCATCCTCCTAACTAGGCCTCTCGGCTTAAAATGATATTTTAGAGTCCATCTCAAGTTAATTGGAGAATACGATTTTGTTATAATATACCGTTTAGCGCCGCCGAGGCGAGCCTCGGGATGTTGAACGCGACTGTCTTCCATCGCTAATTGCACCGGGATGACTGGACGTTCTCGCCGAGGAGAGATTAACGCTCTTCTCCCGTTATTGAATGACAATTTAATTACGTTTACAAATCCATTAAAATTTTCCGCTGGCTGCAACAGCGACGTAACATTCTTCGCGCACGCCACAGTCACTAAAAACGTATCGCAGAGGCTGTAACGAGTCGCATTTATTTCCCGCGGATTTCGAATCGTTTCATATTAATACGGAGAATTGTGTATAAAGCGGCCGCGAGGATTTTGCCGATGCTAATCTAATATTCCGAGTTGATGATCGCGCGCGGATCGTTCCATATTTCGAGATTTACACGGCGCAAGAACGTTACAAAATTAATATCGACTATACGGATGTCGCGCGAATTATTTACGTCGACGTCGCGCATTGTCACGAGACGAGCGTGAAATTAAGGATGTTTGGTACCTAGTTTTGAGATATTGGAAATTCAATCAAAATTGTAGAGATTGTTCGGAGACTTATAAAAAAATTCGGAGTCGTTTCACTGAGGCAATCACAAGAAGTTTAATTTGCAACTTGCAATTTGCAGAATTTAACCGTGAGATTACGAAAAATGTGACCGCGTTATTGGACTATTGGAAACTCAACAAAACTTTTAGAGTTTGTTCGGAAACATAAAAAAAATCCGGAGTCGTTTCACTGAAGCAATCACAAGTTATACAAGAATTTTCATTTGCAACTTGCATTTTGTAGAATTTACCCGTGAGATTATGAAAAATCTAACTGCGTTTATTCAAATGGAAAAATTAAAAATGCATGCTTCGAACTCCAGCTATGAAGAAATAACAAGCTTCTACGTAAACTTTGTTGCCCAAACTATACGAGAAAAACGTACGTTCGTCGAGGTCGAATTTCAGCTACGTTTTGCTACGATTGCTACAAAACATCCTTAAAGTCGCGTCAACGGTGTAACGACGAAGGTGATCGTCGTGATGTTCCGGCTAATTAAAACGCGGCGCGAGTAGCCGCGAAACACCGCTAACCTTCGTCGCCGGTTACGGCTACCCGTTCGCGAGGAATCGCTCTTAGCGGCGACGTCGCGTTCGTAAATCCGCCTTTACCCGCGTCCTAAAACGATTACACCTGTACGTTTGTTCGAGGTATCAGTCGAGTCGATACGAGCCGACGATCACGTGGACGGCGATACTCCGCGCACACGTATATACCGCGGCTGTGTCGTAATCGTGCGATGTGACAATGCGGCAAAAGACGTCACGTAAGTGCGGCGCGTTCGGTCTTATCGAAACCAGCTCGGCCAACGCAACGTGCGAAATTGACCCCGGCCGTCCGGTAAGAGACAAATCTTGTCGAGCCTGATCTGCGATGTGCTCTTTGCATCTAGAAACATTCTATTTTATATTAGCAAGTCGAGACGCTTGAAGAAATTGTCGGCAATGCACGATTGTACAATGTTGTGCAATTTATCAGCTTGTTACAAACTTTGTAAACGTACTAGGTTCGGTTTTTCCAACGTCACTTATTGTTAGTGTAACTTATCCTTTGTCTCTTTCTAACTGTCCTCTTAGAAAGACACAAAGAACGAATTAAGCTAACGTTACAATAAGTCACGTTGGAAAAACCGGGCCCTAGTTGGCTGCAGGATAAAATGTTTCTGGACTCAAAGAGCACATTGTACATCAGGTTTTTCAAAGTTGCCACGAATAACGAACGCGACATATAACACGCGGATAGATATTCGTATTCCACGTCCAGCAGAAATGAACGAGAAAGTTCGTTCTCCAGATAACTTTAAATGGACCTCGATAAAATCCTGACTCATAATATATTTTATGACTACTGACACGATATGATTCACCGTGGGCTCGAAAAAAAATGGCGCGAAAAACGCGGCACTTAATTAGGTTTCGATAAAGGAGCAAACTATCTCAGTATTTTCGACAAAAATATTCAAACTTATTTATCAAGTAACGAGTTATCACTTGTCAAGCAATGAACTGTCGAATTATTTTTTGAAAATTTAATTGTGCTTTGAAAATGATCTTTTTAATTATACAAATTGTTAGAAAACTGCAAGGAAGTTTAAATAATGGTTTCTTATTACGTACGATCGAAAGTCGATACGAAAAGTTGTTCTTGAGTGTCGCTGACGCAAATGTGCAAAAACCAATTGCAGCGTCACTGATGTATGCGCAAACCAATGTCTACCACTGCGATTTGAGGAACTTGATATTTGAACGGCCGTACGCAGTTGAAAAATTTGTGTTAAATTTAACAGATGTCACATGTCCCAAACGGTCCACACAAATTTTTGTGTTAATTTTACATAATATGGATATGTTAAATGATCACGCTGAATCTATTAATATTTTAACACAAAATAAATGCAAATTTCAAAATAATTTGAAATAAATTTTCTGTAAAATTAACATATTTTTTATGACCAAATGAATTTAAAAAATGTAATTTTTACATTTTACAGATGTAATAAGTCAAATGACAGTTCGAAATCACTCTCACTTATGTTATATAGAACAAAATCGACATTTTATTCTGTAAATTTTAACAGATGACTCTTGTTACTACACTGAAAAAAATTTCTGGTTGAATATGGACGAATCAGATAATTCCTTTAGGATTTACCAGAATTCCTTTAGGATTTACCAGAATTCCTGTAATCCTACAGAAATTCTGGTAAATCCTAAAGGAATTCTGGTAAATCCTAAAGGAATTATCTGATTCGTCCATATTCAACCAGAAATTTTTTTCAGTGTACTAATACAGAACATATGTATTGTGTAAGATTAAAAACTAAGTACACATTGTGTTGTTTTAATATTTCTTTTTAGTTATCCTAATAATTTTACATTTGAGGTCAATTAACACAAGAGCAATATGTTAAATTAGCACATAAATGTGTTAAACATTTAACGCAAAAATTTTAACCGGCATTTTTTTAACAAGAAAACACAAATTTTTCAACTGTGTATGATCTGAGAATTTAGACGAGGATACCCCAGTAATACAGATGCATTTCGAAATTTTGTTCACTTTATTCGGTCCACGTTTACACCGAGGCTTCCAACGATATTAGAAATCTCCAAACCCTTCGCGTGCGATTCAATGATATTTGAATTAATAAATGTAATGTTCTTTTATTGAAAACGTCTTTGACAGAAAAATATTTGTCTTCTGACAATCTCTCGCGGGATTGACATATTATGCTCGTTATCGCCGCAAAATGCGCCGCGATTTGCTTAATAATAAATGAAAAACAGTTCATTACCAGCTTGCAGTTTGCCTCTCCCGTTACTCGCGATTTCTCCCCGGCAGTTCCGAGATGTATTCGCGAAAATACGGAGAAAATATCCCCCGATGTCAATTTACGACGGCGATAATCTACGCGATGTTCGTTACGTGTGAAAATGTGATTATTTGCCAGACGAGGGGAAAATCGATTTTAGTTATTCGTGATTTATAGCTTTTAGAGGCGCGTGCTGCGTCACGGTGCGCCTCCAAATCGCGGAAACCCGTTACCACCTCGGAGATCGGACATCGTGCTTCTTGCCGCGGTGTAATCTTTTTCTCATTAAATAAAACTGTGCGATGAAATGAAATATTCGAAATGTGTGTGTCACGCTGGTTTCAAAGAGCTGTCGGAAATCGTCCTTGCTTCGCACTGGTTTTCTAATTGTTAAAATAAAAATCGAGGCGTTTTACATTTTTCACGCACCCGCAGGTCTGCGATGTTCGACTTTATTTAATTACATAAATTAAAATCGTCATTACAGTCGTTAATTCGAGTATTCTAAAATTTGAAATAATTATTTTTACATGGCCTTGCAACGTCGCAAAGAATGCCCTCTAGGTTGATGTGTACCCAAGCGTCGCGCACAGCCGTCCTTCTCAATTACGTCAAAGTTGGTCGAAAATTTCGACGCTCGCCGATCACCTGTCCAGCGCGACTTTATTTCAGGAAGATCTGAGTCAGCCCACGAGGAGTCGTCCGCCGGCGACGAGGGGAGAACCGTGCCAAGTTCCGGTACCGCGCTCTTCCTAAGCTTCGTTTTGAATCTGTGACGTTGTCCTGGGCCGCCCTGCGGGGATAACGTCCGTTTATGGCCCAACGACTGTGATTTCGACGCGTGATTTCGACGCGTGACGCCGCCACTGCCAAAAAGGAAACAAACCAGCGTCGATCGCGAACCTGCGTCTTCGTCTCCGCTTCCTTTGCCTTCCCAGCCGTTCATCGAAGACGAACGTCTTCCACGCAGAAACGTACGACGCGACTTCCGCCGCTGTCTTGCTCCGAGATACCTATGTCTTCCTACGAGTACCAATGCCCTTGACCGGCGAAGCGAAAGGGTCCTCGACTTCCTTGAATTTCCTTTTGAAGCACGAAGAGAGAGAGAGAGAGACCGGGGGATCGACTTCTCTGCCAATCAAGACTCTACCGACATCGAGTGTCGTGTGAATGTCCCTTGACCAAGTCGCGAACGCGATTCGTTGACACCACGTTAATCTGAATCGCACTCGGGGGCAGAACTGCGCATAGCAAAACGGAGGTGCCTTGCCATCGCTGTCATCGCTCGAACCCACTCGAGGCGCCGTGGGATCGTCGCCGCGTTGACGCGACGCTCGAGCCGTCTTACAAAGGGGCATTCTTCGCTTGTCACGGGACACGGCAGAACGACGCCGTGACGACCGTCGAGAGACGCATCGTCGGGCCGGACGCCTGTGATGCGGCGCACGCGGCGGGACTGCTGCTACCGTCGTCTCGCGTCAGCCTGTGCGACCGCCTCGTCGCAATAACGGCGAAGATGTTCGGGAAAGTGCCGCCGTCGAACACGCCGGGTCCGCCTAATAATAACGGCGGCCAAGCGTCAGCCAAGTGCGCCAGGCCGGCGACGACGACGGGCGCGGCGTCGTGTCTGCCGTGCTTCTCGGCGGAGGAGACGCCGACGGTGAGCGCCGACGACAAGGTGAGACCTTGGCGGCCGACGAAGGACAGCGCCGACGATTCGCCCACCGTAGTCTCCGAGGCGCCCAGCAACTCACTACAACCACCCGTCGGTCTGACGGACGCCACTTCGGTCGCGGTGGAGCACCACCCCAGACCCTGCAGGACTGACGAAGCGATCGCGACGACTTGCGCCTCCGCTTGTACCAAGACCCCGATCAAGTCCTCGCCCAAGGAGGGGTCGTCGCAGCTCGGCAGGAGTCACGCCAGCGCGATGCAGAAGTGTCCCTCCGGTCAAAACTGCTCGAATCACTCCAAGGCCGGCGTCGGTAGGACGCGACGGCCGCAGTCCGCCGCGACCGCGAGAAATCTCAACGTCGAGTCGTGTACGAGGGACTACGGCAAGACCGCGAGAAAGATCGTTGCCGTTAACCGGGAGCCGTCGAGCGGCAGGGAGCATCAGGCGTGCAACGAGCAGCAATCCAAGTGCCTACCGGGTACGGTCGCTGCCAAATTACCTTCCACGAGATCTTCCGAGATGATCCATCACACGAAAAGGCCGGGCAACGAGGAGCCCTCGACGGACACGTGCGCGAATTACTTGGCGATGTCGAACGGCGCGTCTAATGCGTCGGTCGCGACAAGCGAGCATCAGAGGCCGGCGGTCCCAAGGACGATCGACGTCAAGGACGGCGCCGGCGACTCCGCGACCACCGTCGCACCCTGCGAGGACGACACCTGCGACAGCGACTTCACCAGCTCGACGATCAAGGATTGGACGGCGAGGAGGGTCGGCAGCGACGCGCCGCAGCAGAATCTCCCCACGGAGCTGCAGTCGTCCACCTCGCCGAGGAGCTACAAGGAGCTCAAGGAGAAGTCCCGCGATTCTCTTTGGCGGCCTACGGAGATGACGGAGAGTGTGGTGCACGGACTCACGGTGTGCCCGGGTGAAACGTTTCAGGACTCGAGTTCGAAGAGGCGCACCGGCGCCTCCTGCCAGGCGCTCAGGCACGCCGTCGCATCGTTGAACCGCCTGGACGACTTCTACATGGAGAAGATCGGCGCGGGCTTCTTCTCGGAGGTTTACAAGGTAAGACGATACTCGATCGAAGCGAATTACGATAAGATATCCCGGAGGACGGAGACAGGAAGTAGGGATCGATTTACAAAAGAAATGATAGGCGTATTGTATGTCCCGATAACAGGCGCACTCGATAATTAACGCAATTTGCCTTCGTCGAACGAAAATTCGGATGCCGTTCGCCTAGCCAGGACGTCATCGGATCTTGAGATACATGTTTGATCGCGTTAGAGGAGGCTCGTTAGAAAGTTTTTCTCCCGTATGGCAATGCGCCTCCTTTTGATTCCCTCGCCATTGTTTCATAAACAACAATTGCGAATTCGAAACGGACGGCTCGCCGTATCGCGCCGTGTGGAATGCGCTATCTTTGTAGATTAATATCTCGATGGAGATTAGATACGCCTGCCCGCCGGCACGAACCTCGTGAAATTAATTCCGCTCGTAATCACGCGGTTACTCGTCGGTAGCGAGCGATCGGAAGACGTTTTTCTTTTTTTTCTTTTTCTTTTTAGTCTCACTTCGTCCCGGCGTGGTTTTCCGGGAACGTTTGCAGCTTTCTGTACGACTTGTCAGGAGAGATCCGCCTATTTGCTCGGTCTCTCGAGCCATTAGATTCTATCGATTTGCTACTCGCGAAACGGAGGAAACTGCGGAGGAGGATGCTTTTCATTCGCGATTCAGTGATTCCGAGTCATACGAGCGATATGTAGCTGCGCGAAGCTAACAGGATAGGGATAATATTTCTCGCGTAAACAGCGAAAGGAGAAAATGAAGCGTCAGCGAATACCTTACGCGAAGCTTCGGGTGGACAGGAGATGCAAAGAACGATCCGCTTTTTACCTGTCTTCACGCCACGAAGTTCTCCGCCAATTGCTATCGCAAAAAGTAGGGAGCCTCTTGGGTGAAATTTTTCATCGGCAAGGCAGCGGGTGCCCACACGTTACACGTTCCAAATGCAACCGACGAGACCTCTCGACAACTGAAAACACTTTGGACGATGTACCTAGAAAAAATATTTATTTGAGTTAACTGAGAAATTACGTTTCTTTGTTGGAATCTACGCTACATTTTTATTTACTTCTATTGAAACATTTCCTAGGTTTGAGGGAATAGATATGAGTTCACTCAAGGCCTGTGTCCACGATGAACTTGGTCCTTTGATAAAATCGGTTCTTTGAAATAAAAATCTACACTGAAAAAACAGTCTCTGAAAATTTATTTATGGCATATAACGTTTATTTCACTGAAATTTCAGTGAAATAAACGTTATATGCCACAAATAAATTTTCAAAGACTTTTCTCTCAGTGTAGTAAGATCAAAATTGAAAGAAAATCTGTTTGATAGGTACTTTTTACTGGGCGTGCGTGACAGCTCGTTATAACGCATTTTTCTGTAAGATCTCCTGGCCGCGTGCGTGTGTGACATTTACGTTTGCGAATGCAGAAGCGAGACTTCGCGGCTTAAGAATAGTGTCACGGTAGCTTACGTAAACGATTGTGTTGATTCGCGGCGGGCAGGAGCACGTAATTATCGTAGGGTCTCATCCTTGACTTCATTTTTCCCGACTAATATCAGGACTCTGTAGAAATTATCCGTTCCTAATAGATTTCTCAATCACTCGAATAATCTATTTAGGATGCTGCAGGAATAGGATACTTGCGTTGAAATACGCGTCTATCGGGCTCAGGGTATTTATTCTCTTAAATGAAAGTTATGAAAGTTACATGAAAAAATTACATTCTCGGAGTATAACTCCTGAACGGCGCGATATAAATGGTGGAGGTAACAGATGTGTGCGCAACTAGAGAGTGGCAATTAGAATTAGCAAGAGCGGAAGTCTCGTAAGGCACGAAATGGACGTAAATAAATGATATCGCTACGTCCATCGCGCCCATTATCGTAACGGTGAATCGTCGGAGACGGGCATGTTTCGATTCGAGATAGAGTCGTGTAGCAATTTAGCGCGAAAATCGATCGAAATTCGCTGTCAAGCGCGCGACGTTCTGCGTCTCGCCGAGAGATTTATGCACGCGTCTTCCTCTCTCTCTCTCTCTCTTTCACCCCTTCTCTTTATCGACCTAACTTGGCCGCGTGCAAGTGGTAAAAGTGGCCGGAAAGCTGCCCCAGTTCCGCGATATTCATTCCGTGCGGTCTGCAATTTCGCGCATTGGCCCCGCGATCGTGGCAGATGCGCCCGCCGAGGTGACGGCTGCACTGGACTACCTACCTACCTACCTACACCACGAGTCAGCCGAGCGATCCGGGACCTTGAGAAGTATGCCGCGGCTTCTCCGGCGTGGATAGGCGCGTTATAAATAGGTCAACAGGAAATTGAGCACGCTCCGTAGTGACTACGGTGATTCCTCCGGCGCAGCGGTGCGCAAACCGAGTGCGGACTCGGCGCGATTACGCGGCCCTTCGGACACTCGTCGTCGCGAGTGGCTCTTGGGAAAACCTGGACCGTGGGGTCAACTCTGTATCTTACAGTATAGTGAAGATGCTAAGAGTGAATAGCTTTGTGTGTCTCTCTCTCTCTAACCGTCCCTTTAAAAACAGGTAAAGCTGCTTGCTTTTAGCATTTTCCGAGAGGGCTGACCAAAATCTTGTACGCCAATGCCCATTAATGCCCAGTGCATTATCTTATTTTATCTTGTTTTACCTTATTTTATCTTTATAATATCCCAGCAAGGCCTAATGCCCAAAAATGCCTAGTAATACTTAGTAATGCCCAGTAATGCCGCAAATCTGTACACCACAATGCCCTCAGTGGTTTCCCCCCCTCGGCATTTTCACTATAATGTAAGATACAGAATTGACCCCCGTGTCTTCGTTCGATTTTTATCGCTGGCGCTTCTCTACCGCGTCCCGTAGCCTCGCGCCGAAAGTCAGCGCTAAGCCGGATTAAGTTAATTGCAACAGGCTAAACGGTTCTACCTCACTTTCACGAGCTTCAATTTCGAGCTCCGCTCCGGAATAATTTCGACGTGCTTCTTTCACCCGTGTTTCCCCGGTTGCCCTCCGGCAAGGATAATATTTTTCTGTTCCGCCAGATGTTGGACAGCGCACCTCTGCTTGAGCGCATTAGCGAGACTCTCGTTTAAAAATAAACTCGTGCTTCTCGATGTTATCGCGGATAGAATCGACCCTGCCGTTTGTGCCGTAGGTCAAATTCTACTAGCAATCTCCTTTTCGAGTGTGACCGATATTATTAATCGCAAGGATGACTAATGACTAGGTGAGTAAGAGAAGAAGCCGTCACATTTTGCTGATATAATTGCTCTCGATGTGTTGTACTGTCGAGTGGCATACATTTTGATAGACATACAATAATTCCAATGAAAGTGCACACTAAAATTTGATAAGAATGTCATATCGTCTTAAAATATTTTGCATCGATTAAATACTTAATCGACTTATAAAATATTATGAGATCGAGATTGCCTAGCAAGTAATCTTGTAATAAAAAGTAATAAGAAATTGGTAGTAAAAATTATGTAAATTGCTAAGTTTTCTGATTCGGTTGAGCAAACTAATAAAGATAGGTCACTGTATATTTATTAGTTTTATAACACATTCTCTTACTTGGATCGTAAGTTTATTGTCGAGATCTATTTTATATAACAATGCGAATTTGTAAAGAGGCAAATTGCGAATCTCGAGAGAAAATTATTGTAATTACAATGAAATCGAAACATTTCGAAAAATGTTGAAAGTTAATCGCAGCCGAGATAGGGTCACTCGGGGCCCAGAGGTCGTGCATTCTTGGCACGATAGCGCAATTGCCGTGCCAAGAGTTTTGAGCAAGTACATCAATTTTCTAGCCGAGCCGAGCATGCGGTTGCATGCTCTTTAATCGCCAGCCGCGAACGAACTTGTGCTTACAAAATCCGTGTCCGAACGGTTCGTTTGGTCCCAGGCCTAAATGTAGGATTATCGTGAAAATCAGAACTAGAATTAGTGAAATTGCCGGAAAGACGAAAGGGTTATACTTGGACATTTTCTTCTGTGTATACCTAACATATACGTATACCTACATATACGTACAGGAAACCTGAGACAGAAGAGAATCGGGCACACGTTCTCCGTGTAAATAAAATATAAGACATCGTTGAAAATAGAATTCGAGGGAGCTTTCGCGGAATGAGAGAGAGAGAGAGAGAGAGAGAGGCGCGAGGTTTTAAAGATATAAACCGCCACTTTTGTTCGGGTACACAGTGTACCGTGTGTTTGTGCGCGCAAATCCCGATGGAATATCCGGCATCGTTGCTTAGCCAAAACCATAGGTGTTAGATGTGGAAATTGTGGTATCCTGCATATCTCTACGTCTCAATCTTTGCCTGTTCAAGTTAAACGACGAAGGTGCCGCTTCGCGCGAGATTCCGCGATTTCTCCGCGAATGATGAAACTGCAGAGTTTGGAGTAACGTGTCAAAAGTCGCGTAATGACGAGCGATCGTTAGTGTTGTTCTCACGAGCGAGTCGCTGTAGCTAAGTGAAAGTTAAGTGAAATAACTTTTTAGAGTCGTCGCTCGATAGAAATTTGAAACTCTCAAAACTTCACAGACAATCGATTAATCGCGCGTCTTTTATGATCACATTTGACGGCTAACATTTACGGCAATAGTATTTTTAAAAAGTGTAAAACGACTTACTAAAGCTGTATTGACAATGGTGGTTTGACATATGTTAACGCTAGAGATCGGTAGATGGATAATTAATGAAGAGAATACTGTTGCTTTATTGTTTTCTTATGTAGACTCGTCGATTCGTACAATAACAGAAGGACGAGTGATAAGCCTAGCACTGGCATACTGCACATTTTAACGATCGCCAGAAAGGCCGGTGATAAGTCGCCGATAAACGACGATAAACGATAACAAATGCTCCACTTATTGAACTTGTTTTACAGACCGTGATATAGATAACCAATAATCTAATTTTTTTAATTGCTTCCGTCCGTTTCTCGGGCACAGATTTGTCCTGTTCAGCCGGGCTTGTTGCTTCGAAAT